GGACCGTGGTCCGTATTGTAAAGGTTGACCAGTTACAAGGACGCGATTAGCCATTCAGAATCGAGAACTTAAGATTTCAACCCGCTGAAAAAAAAGAGATTTGTATCCATAAAACAGACATTTTATGCTTAATTTTTTGTTTTCTTCTGGCTTGTGTTTCAAGTCAGAGACAACTTAAACAAACACGAATGCAGAATTTAACCGCGTTTTATTTGAGGTTGCAGAAAGGCTTCAACCTCAGACGTAAAGATAAAACGAGAAGAACCCTTTCGCGAGATGGCGATAGACCTTCAAGCATGACGAGATTGGGACGTTCAGTGTGCGCGGTAAAGATGTCATGTTTTCCAAACAGAAGAAATTCTGGTATTTCATTAATGTCTAACTAGACAGAGGACAAAATATGGCCGCCGGTGAATGTGAATTATATAAAAGATGATATCAACACAAAATGATAAAAGTGCGTGCACAAGCGGACGTTTGATGTCCTGTTTATCATACGAATGTTGATCACAATTTTTTTAATAAAACAAATTTGAAATTACATCATTGCAGTTTCGTAATAGTTTTACTTCCTAAGTCCGAGGGCAATTACGAGAAAACAAAAGCGTACGCGGTCCATCTGATGAAATCATTTTACCAGAGCATAACTGAAGTGTACTCGTGTAATGGCGTCTCCCTCAGAAAATTATTCTTAGAATTAAGAATCCCGACAGTTACTCCCTACGTTTGCAACGATAAGGAACGAGGAGTACTGAAGGTATAAAAATGTATAACACGGAACATAAGATAAGCCAGTTTGTGGATGACGTGTATCTATTTCTAAAGAACATCATTTTCTGTGCCAACGCTGTTTAAACTCTTCAGCTTCATCACTTATCATCAGGCTAGACTTAAAGTAAATCTGGGTAAAATCAGAACAATTTGGATCGGATCTTAGACGCAGAAAAGAACAAACTGGACTAATGAACCAGCGCGAGCCCTTGGAATTTGTATTTCTTACGACAAACAGAAAAACGGCAAAAAAAAGTGTAACTAGAAAAATTTATAAGTTGTATATCAAGCTAGACATAACGAGAGAACGCAATCTTTTCCTCTTCAGGGAATGCCTTATTGTTTAAAGCTTGGCCATGGGAATCTCGCAAATTGTATACTCAGCGTCTTTGTTAGACATCAGTCCAGACAATATCTCTCGAAATAAGAGAGCCATTTTCAATTTTATTTATAACATAGCTAGTAAATTTGTCTGATCAAATTCAATTGCGTGAGCGTGCTTCATATTCCTATTGTGCACGCTCATGACGTCAGCAAACAAATCCCTCGGGAAAAAAATTGAAATTGTTATAAAACAATTGGTTCATACGTCATATGAAGCACGTGGGAAGTTTGGAGAGCACTCAAGAAGCTGGAGTTGCCCGAGGCGTAGCCGAGAGCAACTCTTACGCATCTTTCGTGCTCTCCAAACTTCCCGCGTGCTTCATATCTCGATGAACGCACGCTGATGTATGAACCAATTGTTAATTGGGATAAGAAACAAGACAACATAAAAAGAAATGTCGTGCACCAAGACTATATAAGTGGGAGATTGCGGGCGCCGGATCCACATACTTAATTTAAATCTTTGCGTTTAGCCTGGATTTCAAGGTGTTTAATTGATATCCATTGTAACTCGAATGTTACAGAAACTTGGAAATCCATTGCAACCTACTTTTTTCCAAAAATACGGTGGACTAAACTTGCTTCTGTGATGTAGTTATGATTCCAGATTTCAAGAGAAAACAGATAAACCACCTTTTTATAAAGAATATTGGACAATTTTCAAGGAACTAAGGAACCTATACAACTGCGACAATGGTCATGATCTAATTCTTTCTAATAATAGTGAAGTTCTTCTTGAAGGAAATAGCTTTTTCTCAAGAAATTGGAGAGATAAAGGAGTGATCACTGTTCAAGATATCCTGAATGATAATAGAATTCCCTTAACCCTTTACACCCTAACATCATTATGCATATTCTCCACGCTGATCTTTATACATTCCCTGAGGTTCTGACGGGTAGAATTTGTTTAACAACTTGTTAAACAAGAGCTTCGTCAGTTGGCGATCATTTCTTTTATTTTCAGGAC